GGGAAAATGTTTTTTGGGTGATTTCAGAGGTTTTGGGAATGCTTTTTTTTTTTTGGTTTTGGTCTATATAATTTTGAAGAAATCGGTTTTAGGTCGACGAATATTAGTATTTTTGAAGACAACACATTAGTAAACAGAAAAAAGAAAAGAAAGGAAAAATTCAAATCCAGATAGTTTCTGCTAAATCTGACGATCTGATTCCTAAAAACTCAATATGCTAGAAGTTCTAAAAATGTACTATTAGGTTGGCGGGAAAGTCTTTGTCACTTTTTCAATAGTTTATTTCTCAAAGAAAAAATAACCGAATAATTAATTATATTGTCCATCATTATCAACAACATGTCTCCAACGTTCCCTCAATTTATGGATTCCATTGCGGTAGAATCCAGCCGGGCGTGAGGCAAAGTATTGTTTGAGTGCCGCTTCGACCGCTCCACGGGAATTGAAGCTTCTTCCTTCGAAGGCACGTGTCATATCGCCAAATAACCAATAGTCGGAAGGAGCAAGATCAGGAGAATACGGGGGGTGAGGGAGAACATTCCATCCATATCCCATCAGCTCCTGCTTCACTTGTTTCGAAACATGTGGGCGAGCGTTATCATGTTGATAGTACACTTTCTTGTCTTTCAGGGCCGAACGGTCGACTGCTTTCTTGAGGTTTCGTAGTTGAGTAGTGTAGAGGTCTCCAGTTATTGTTTTGCCCTCGGGCAGAAGTTCCCAGTAGATGGGGCCGTCCACTCCCCACCACACAGAGAGCATAACTTTTTTCGGATGAAGGTCGGGTTTGGGGACATCCTGTGGGCTCTCTCCTTCTCCAACCCACTGGGATTTCCTGTGGTGATTATCGTAGAAGACCCACTTCTCATCTCCGGTTATTAGCCGGTCCAGCCATCGATCGCCCGCGTGGAGAGTGAGAAGAGTAATCGAATCGTCGACTCGGCGGTCAAGGTTGGCTTGAGTCAGGTGATGAGGTATGAATCGACCAAAAAGTTTTCTCATTCCAAGAGACTTCAAACCTTCAAGGACTGTGCTATGGTGAACTCCGAATGTGACAGCTAGTTCACGGCTAGATTGAAATGGATCCGATTGCAATGCGTGCTTCAGCTTGTCCAAATCCAACTCACGGGGTCTCCCAGAGCGATCCTTTTCATCGAGCGAGAAGTCATCTTTTTCGAAACGATGGAACCAATTGCGAATAGTATTGTAGTGAGGGGCATGTGTGTTGTACACATTCTTCAAGAAAGTTTCCGAATCCTTCATCGTGGTGTGAGATAGGAAGAGGTAAATCAAAACATGTCTGATGTGAATAGCAGTGGGAACAAACATATCGTTTCAATTACAGATGAGGAGCAGGGAAGGAGATGGGGACTTGTTTATATGGAAGGTTCTTATCACCTTGTTATTCACTAGAGTCGATATCATACACAGCCTCCATATACGAGAACAGTGATTAAACAAACAGAGTGACAAAGACTTTCCCGCCAACCTAATACATTTTTAAAACCCTATTTTAACAAGTAGTTCCTGTATTTCTCCTAACAAATTATATATCAAAATGATCTCCTTGAAATTTGCTATTCAACCATATAATTTTCAAATAGTTTGGTTTTCTAGAACTCGCGCTATGGGTCTTTAAACATTTCGTCACTTTCCCCCCAACACACAACTGGCCTCCTCCATTTTCCCTCCTCCCCTCTCGCCTCTCTCCCGCCGCCCTCTCTCTTCTCCCCCTTCTTATACGCCCTCCTGTCCTCTTCTCAATGTGCGGGGGTATAGCTCAGTGGTAGAGCGCTCCCTTAGCATGGGAGAGGGCTGGGGTTCAATTCCCCATACCTCCAGAACCTTTTTGCTTTATACGACAGTCATTTATTAGGTGCTAGAAGACACTCTATATGAATGTCTTCTCATAATACTGTCAATTATGGATACAGATGAGTTGGAATTCGAGTTTTGGCCTCTTAATGCTTCTGGTTTTTGAACAGTGCAAGTGAGAAGATACAATATTGCAATGCATACTCGTCGATAAGGGCTGATAATCAAGCAATAGGTGAAAGAAAGGCTCAATCCCAAAAAGTGGGCGGGGCTGATATTGAGAAGGAATGTCATAGGACCACTGAAAATAGGTTGAAATTGAAAAAAACCCGCATTCCTTCAAATGAACCAATAACTTTGAGCTCAATTATCTCGGCTCCTATAAAAGATTTCAAAAATCTGTCAACAGATAAACTGTTGGTGATTTTTTTTTGAGCTTGTTAATCTCGTTTTCTGTGTCAGATATTAAAAATTGGTCAACTGATAAATGATTGGGAATATTATGATAAACATTTTATGACTTTACGGATTTTCAATATCTTTCGCAGGAACCGAGATAATTGAGCTCAAAGTTGACGGTTTGGGTGGACTTCTATTAAAATTCCAGAAAACTTACAAAAATGGCATTAAATCATGTATTGCCAAGATAAAAGCGGCCAGAGGGAAAGAGAAATATAATAAGAAATGTGCCACGTAGGAGAGCAACATGTACATCATCATTCGATGATTTTTGGCTGTAGCTGGAGACATATTCGGCTTTTGGCGGTTGAAATGTTTTAGGGATCTGGAAAACTTACTTTCAGAAAGTTTAGAAATTTTTGGAAAGAAATTGGGCAACGAATTTCAGAGAATTTCAAAAAAAGTCAAATTCCCGCCAAACCACCAATTCAAAAAAAAGGAACTCACAAAACTGTCAAAACCAAACAAAAAACCACTGAAACCAATGATAAAATAAGGGCTTCAATAGAAGCCAATTTGACTGGAATACTGTAGATATCAAATACAAAAACTGCATATTTCTCGAACATTTCCGATAATCGTGGATCGATTTTTTCCAGAATTTCCTGTTGCATCGCTGGCTGACTTTTTGAAACCTGTGCCACTAACAAACAATTTCCAGATATCAAAAGTACAGTAATCAGGAAAATTAGACATTTCAAAAATCTCTCAACAGACATATGGAACCAAACGGATGACATTTGTTTGAGAGACATAAAATTATAAATTAGGCCGAAGGATAATAACAGCATTGTTGGAAAAAAGTACAGTAGGACGACCAAGGAGGAGAGGTATACTGTAATTTTCGTGGATTACTGTAGTTCTGAGGTTCAGAACTTCAGAAATTCGGAAATTCTGAAATTCAGAAATTCTGAAATTCTGAAATTCAGAAATTCTGAAATTCTGAACCTCTGAAATTTTGAGATTCTGAAATTCCAAAATTTTGAAATTCTGAAATTCTGAAATTCTGAAATTCTGAAATTCTAAAATTCTGAAATTCTGAAATTCTGAAATTCTGAAATTCTGAAATTCTGAAATTCTGAAATTCTAAAATTCTACCAAAAACTCACACGTCACTCGAGAATCCATTGCAAATGGTCCCGAAAGAAAAATCATGGGATACGGTAGTAGAAAACTTGGTGATATCAAACTGATAAGAAAACAGCCACAAAATGCAAGGATCAATTGAGCCACAAGAAGGTTACGGTACCTGAAAATGGGATTACTGTAGTTTTGAATTTCCGAATTTTAGAATCTCATAATCTCAGAATCTCAGAATCTCAGAATCTCAGGATTTCAGAATTTCAGAATCTCAGAATTTCAGAATTTCAGAATTTCAGAATCTCAGAATCTCAGAATCTCAGGATCTCAGAATTTCAGAATTTCAGAATCTTAGAATCTCAGGATCTCAGAGTCTCAAAATCTCAGAATTTCAGAATTACAGAATTTCAGAATCTCAGAATCTCAGAATCTCAGGATCTCAGAATCTCAGAATCACGGAATCTCAGAATCACGGAATTTTACAATTTCTGAATCTCAGAAACTCAGAATTTCAGGGGAAATTTCAAAATTTTGAATTTTTGATTTTTTTAAATTTCAAAACTTAAAAATTTCTCAGATTACTGTACTTACTCAATTTTCAGCCTTCCACTTGCGTTCCATACAATAATTAGTGTGATAAAAGTTGAAAAACAGGAAAAAAATGAAGCAAATTTAAAAAATTGTTTCAAATTGTGCATTTTCTTTAAACTCGGCTCAAAATCCTCATATAAATCTTGAAATACAGTAGGAAATGTTAGATTTTCATTTTCAGAAAACATGGTTTTTTTTTTGAAATTCTGAAAAAATATAGCTAAAAGACAGGTAATTTTCTTCCGGGATTCACAAGAAAAAGTAAAAAAAAAGAGCGGAAAAAATTTTTCAGGACAGGTGAATCTCAGAAAAATGAAGAATGAGAATTCGTCATTTTTCGGAAGGGTCTCCGTGATTTTTTTTTGTTTCTTGGAAAAAAAAAGGAAGAAGAGGGTGGAATAAAAAATTTCTAGTGTTAGTGGGGGTAGGAAATTCTAAAAATAGAAACATCAGGTTTGAATTTTTTGGCACAAAACCCAAATATTTTGGTTTTGGAATAATAATAGTATTTTTGAAAAAAAGGTACATTAGGCGAATAAGTGACCATAGGTGTACTGTAATTTTGGGGGTGGTAGGAATTTTCGAAAATCGAATTTATGAATCTTGGAATTCAATGTTTCGAACCTGACTATCCTGAAAATTCTAGAATCAGAAATTCAGAAATTCAGAAATTCAGAAATTCAGAAATTCAGAAATTCAGAAATTCAGAAATTCAGAAATTCAGAAATTCAGAAATTCAGAAATTCAGAAATTCAGAAATTCAGAAATTCAGAAATTCAGAAATTCAGAAATTCAGAAATTCAGAAATTCAGAAATTCAGAAATTCAGAAATTCAGAAATTCAGAAATTCAGAAATTCAGAAATTCAGAAATTCAGAAATTCAGAAATTCAGAAATTCAGAAATTCTGAACCTCTGAAATTTTGAGATTCTGAAATTTTGAGATTTTGAAATTTCGAGACTCTGAAATTCCAAAATTTTGAAATTCGGAGTTTCCGAAATTCTGAAATTCCAAGAATCTGAAATTGTTCTGAATCCCAAAAAGTCCAAAATCCAAAGTTCCAAAATTTCAAAAACTCGGAATTTTAAAAAAAATTCGGAAGCTAAATGAAATGAAAATTCGGAAGTTCAGAATTTTTAAATTTTTTTAAAACAGATTTCAAGATTCTCAGAATTTCAAAACCTCATACTTTTCAAAGCAGAAAAAAAAGAGTCCAAAATTACAACTTCACAGAATGTTTCACGTTTTTTGTAATCAGAGGATTCAACAGTTCTAAGAAGTGTTTTAAAAAGGTTTGCTTCAGATCCTCTGAATGTTCTGAAACTCCACATTTTCTAGAATTTTAAGATTTCCAACTTTCAGAAATACCTGATTTTATAAATTTATTAAAAATTCCAAACTTCTGGAAATTTCATGAGATTTCAGAATGTGCCTTTAAAACTTCCTGATTTTTAAATTTCTGAGTTCCCAGAAATTCCAGACTTCCTCATTTTTTCAGACAATTCTTTTTTCAACAAGTCACATTTTCATTTCTATGAAAAAAATGTTTGATCTTAATTTTCTGAATAATTCTCTTATTTTTTTTCACCTGTAATCGCGCAAATTTGTTTTAAAGGTGGGGGGACAGAAGATTTTTCGTAGTTTTTTTATAGCTAGAGTATGCATTCTACCGTGACGGTGTACAACGCTTAATGTCACTCTGCGTACAGCTGTCGTCCTCGCCTTTATGTATGCAATCGGGCGTCCGCTTTCTCTTTGCACGCGTAGCTCAGTCGGTAGCGGCGCCGCACCCTCAATCATCGCCCTCACAAGTTCAACTCCTCGAGGGGCGTATGTAAACGGAATTTCGAGAAAAAATTTTTTTTCATGTCCCCCCACCTTTCAAGGTGGGGGGACAGGAGATTTTTCGTAGTTTTTTTATAGCTAGAGTATGCATTCTATCGCCACGGTGTACAACGCTTAATGTCACTCTGCGTACAGCTGTCGTCCTCGCCTTTATGTATGCAATCGGGCAGGCGCTTTCTCTTTGCCCGCGTGGCTCAGTCGGTAGCGGCGCCGCACCCTCAATCATCGCCCTCACAAGTTCAACTCCTCGAGGGGCATCTTTGAACGGAATTTCGAGAACATTATTTTTTTCATGTCCCCCCCACCTTTAAATGTCTTAACTTCTAATATGGAAAATTTCATTTTACCCATAAAGAAATTGTTAGTGGAAAAATACAAAAATTGAAGAGAAAAAAGAGAAAAAGTACACAAAAAATTACATATGAAAAATAACAATATAACTGTTTTTTTGCATTTTCTTTTGCATAAAAATGAGATGAAAATTTTGAAATTTGAAAAAATATGAATTTGAAATTCTGAAGACGTTCATCAGAAACCGTAGCTACTCTTCTTCTTTTTCTTCTTCTTGAGAATTTCAATGTTTTCTGAAAGAAAAAAACATGAAAAAAAAGTTGGAATGAGAAATGCAGAAACTCCAAAACTCGAAAATTCAGAAGTTCATGCCGTAAGACCTGTATTAGAAGGGCCAACCCTTCTATTGTTCCAAGGTACCTCCAGAGGGTCATTCTATTAGAGAGGCCCTTCTATTCAAGGGGCCCTTCTAATACAGGTTTTACAGCAAGTTCAGAAATTATGATAGAAAACCTTACCATTCAACAAATCAATATTCTTCAGTGCCTTATCATTCGTTTTTTTCAATTTTTGATTTTCCGTCATCACTCGATCCATCGCCGTCGTCTTTTCCAGAATTTTTGTCTTCAATTGCTCATTTTCTTTTACTAAACGCTTAAAAAAATGAGAGGGCTCGTAGTATTCACGGAGAATTGAGGCGTCCTCTTTGAGATGACGGATTTGAGCTAAAAATTTGAGAGCTTGGAAACTTTGAAATTTCGTAAATTTCGAAAATCCTGAATCCTTGGATCCATGGATCCCTGAATTTATGGATCCCTGAATCCATGGATCCCTGAATTTATGGAACCCTGAATCCATGGATCCCTGAATCCATGGATCCCTGAATCCATGGATCCCTGAATCCATGGATCCCTGAGTCCCTGAATCCCTGAATCCATGGATCCCTGAGTCCCTGAATCCCTGAATCCATGGATCCCTGGGTCCTGGGTCCTGGGTCCTGGGTCCTACCGTATTCACCTTCCAGAATCTCAATCCTCTTCTTATCCTCATTTTCCTCTTTTTCCAATTTCTCTTGGTCCAATTTCTTTGCTGTTCTGGCTTTGATTCTGATTTTGTCTGAAAATGTTTATTTTTTTGAAACGTCCATCTAAAAAAATACAATACCTTTATTTCCAAAATCCGAAATTCGATTTTCTTTTTCTGATTCCATTTTGCACAATTTTTTGGTGAGCTCCATGACTTGTTCTGAAAATTTGAATACCGTAATCCAAAAAAGTTTCAATTGAAATTTTTTGATCTACCGTACTTTTCAAAGCCGAATTCTCATTTTCCTTCTCCTCCAAACGCCTCTGAAGCTCGTCAATTTGCACTTGAGATTTGGGGTTTTTGGAAATTTCGAGGAAGTCTGAAAATATAAATTTTAAAACAATCTGTGTGTCCAAATATCTGGATGTCCGCTCACAAGTATGACTGGATCTGATATTTTTGGCAATGGCTTCGATGAATTTGACTTGTTCTTTGCTGATGTTAGTGCCTGAAAATCGGGGGGTTTTTTTCAAAAATTCCATAAATCCCAAAATATAATTACCAGCTCCCAGTACATGATGATTCAATTTGTTTGCATAACATTCCACTGGGAACGGGCGGGACGGGTTGAATGGGACGGCTGCTGCTTGTTGCATGGTAAGCTGAATATTATATTTTTGAGGAAATCAAAAATTTGAAAATCAAAACATTAATAAATGACTATACAAGGAAAATCAAGAAAAATGACAGGAAATCAGGAAGGAAATCAAGAAAGGAAATCAAGAAATCAGGAATGACAGGAAATGACGAAATCCCAAAAAAATCCTTTTTTAGCGAAAAATGGGTAGATCAAAAAAAAATTTATTGACTTCTCAAAATCAAGTCTAATTTTTTTGAATTGATAAAAATTGTTGAAAATTTGCATTAAAAAAATGAAAGTTGCTGAATTCCGAATTTGCGGAAAAATTCAGAATACCGTAAAACCTCTAATAGAACGACACCCGGATCGTCCACTTTGAGCCTATATATCTCATTTTCTGTGAAAGATATCAAAAAGTGGTTAACTAGTAAAATGTTGCTAGTTAACCACTTGTTGATA